TTACTTGTCTTTAGGTCAGTGTTTTGTATGCTCTTTTGAATTTATTATTTTCTAATCAGGTTCTTGCATCAGCATTATCAAAAGATAAAATCTACTAAGTCACACTAATGTTTCTTTTTTTACATTTAAGCTGAATCAATTAATTGCTTCTTTGCAACAGTACATCAGTCTTTTTGTCAGTAATTATTTATTTTTCCAAGGAATTATTAATTCTATACACATAGAAGAAAGGTACAGAGCGGAATCAGTTATTAATAAGCACCAGCCAACGACACACACACACAAACCTGCTTGCTTACTAAACCCAGTGATTTCATGCAAATGTCCCTCTTTCCTGCCAGTGCAGTCTGTGGATGTTGAATGCATGACAGTCATTTAAAAACTTTAACTTGCTGAATATACTTTTGGACTGTGCTCACTGAAACTTGATGATCACCTCTGCTTACCCTTCTGTTATTGTTATTTCCTTCCCCCTTTGTGACCAGGATTCATTTTCCTACTTATTTTGCCCTCGCCACACCTCATTTTCTCCATTTTCTCTGTCTGCACCTTAATTTCTCTCATGTAGTTTGTTGTTAAAATCCCCAATCTTGCTCCTTTCCTACCTTCCGAGTTTCCCTTATCTCCTCTCTCACTGACTTTCTCCCTCATTCTCTAATTTTCTCTGTTTCTCTCTTTCACGCACATTCTGTTTTTCTCTTAATCTCTTCAACCTCTATGAGAACTCCCTGCCTCTCCTCTTTGATCCTGACCTTTTACTTTGACGTGGAACAAATTGATTTTCTGGTTTCCAGCTCAGTGGTGGCTTTCCTTTAAGCTGGCCAGCCAGACTGCCAGACAGAGATACAGTTGGACAGACAGACAGGCAGAAAGACAGGCAGGGATGGTCCTCTCAGATGTCAATAAATATTAAATGAATGCTCCAGACTTCCTCTTCTCGAGGCCACCCAAACACACTCAAATTCACACACACTTAGACATACTCACATTTTTTCTCTAAATTTCTGACTCTAAACCTCTTCCAATGCTTTCTCCACAGAGCCAGCTCTACACAGAAAATATCCTCTCTGCGTTTCCTCTGACGTCCTCAGACTCCCTTTCCTCCTCCCTTGCCCTTCTCATCACCCCTCTGCCCTGTTTATTTTCAGTTTCTCTCCATCTCCCCCATTTTCTTTTGCAAATCTCTATTCTTGCAACTGGAGTTTGGCTCTTAAGGCTTTGAGTCCCTGTATCTGCACCTGTGACATGTCTTTACACGTCTAAATTTCCTTTTTCCTACCATTCACCCTTATACTTACTTATTTTATGCTGTCCTAGCCCAAAGATAGCCGTGGCTGGAAGCAATATGTTTTAGGGTATTTTGTCCGTCCATCCCATACTTGTGAACATGATATC